GCATCCTCAATAATGGCGTCCTCACGCGTTTCGATACTGCTGATTGCGCTACCACTTCTCCTGCTGCTGCTGCTCGCGGGATCTGCGGAAGGAGCCGGCTTTACGGATCAGATCTCGAAGAGCGTTCGCGATTTTTTCAGTCAATTCTCGAAAATGTGGAGCTCCGGCGGCGGCACGTCCGAGGGGTACCCATCCGTCTGCCAGAACTCCACGCTTCCCGGCTACACCTCATCTTTCCAGCTAACTGATGGGTAAGATTGTAGCACAAGCTTCGAGGCGGCCCGAAATATGGGTTTCGTGGCGAGTACGAATGAGTCTGTATTCTGTACCTTCTGCTTCTTGAGGCGCCTCAAAAAGCTTCGAGGTGCATTTTGAGGCGCCTCAAAAAGCTTCGAGGCGGCCCGAAATATGGGTTTCGTGGCGGGTACAAATGAGTCTGTACCTTCTGTTACGTATTCTGTACCTTCTGCTTCTTCATTTCCCTCCGCGGCGTGCCTCGTTACAAAGTTGGGATTTCGAAAATGGGGAGCACCGGCGGCGGCACGGCGCCGTGCAAACTTGGGATCTCGGCACCGTGCCGCCAGAATCGTGTTTTGAGTCGACTCAAAACAGAGCCTCGGCGAGCTCCGGCGGCGGCACGTCCGAGGGGTATCCGTCCGTCTGCCAAAACTCCACTCTTCCCGGCTACACGTCGTCTTTCCGGCTAATTAACGGGTAAGAGCAGGATACGAGTTTCTGAAACACACCAGGTGCACCTGGTGTAGAGCGGATTCAGCGTTTGCCTCGTTTAGGCGTACCCCTTGAAAATGTGCTGTATCGGTGTTACTTTTGAGGATTCTCAAAAGTAACACCAATTTCTTGGGTTGTTCCCTCTTCCCTAATGTCCTTCACTGGGTTCTCCCACGCTCCATCCTCCTTAACTAGTGCACTTTCGAAGTTTACTCATACTCGGTTGAGAACTTAATCCTTCCTGTTCTCTCCCCCCTCCCCTTTCCCCATCACATGCCCGACCCCCCGCTCCCTCCCCCCCCCAGCCTCACCATCCGTTGGATCCCCGCCAAAAACACGTCCGAGCTTCAACAACTGGATTCTATGCGTTGCCCCCCACTACCTCTTCACCCCCCCTTCCTCTCTTCCCCACCCTCCACCCCCTCTCAGCCTCACCATCCACTGGATCCCCGCCAAAAACACGTTGGAGCTTCAAATTGCCGTCGAAGCGCCATAGAAAATTCTCGAAAGTCACCTGTTGCCCTTGCCACATTTCCACCCCCTCTCTGCCTCACCATCCACTGGATCCATCCCAAAACACGTCAGGACGAAGTTACCTGTGGATCCACTGGCAGGTCGAAACTGTTTTTCTATGAACCATCCCAAAAACACGTCGGAGCTTACAAAACTGTTTCCGCATTCCCCCCCTTCCCCCCCTTCCCCCACTCCACCCCCTTCCGCCCTCCCCGCTTCCACCCCCTTTCCCCAGCCTCACCATCCACTGGATCCCCGCCAAGAACACGTCCGAGCTTCAAATCGCCGTCGAAGCGCGGCGAATCGCCTCCTCGTCGCCGGAGAATCAGACGGCGACGTCGCAGGCGCTACCCGGGAAGGGCTGGTTCTCCGTGGGATGGTCGCAAAGCGGCGCGATGTATCCCGGTGACGCGGTGGTGGGAAATCAGCAGCGCGCTGCGGTCGCCGCGTACAGCATGACCGGCCACGACGCGAGCGCGGTTCGGCGGACGAACGATATCCAGCTGGGGAAGACGAGTCTGTCGCGCAGCAAGAGCTCCGTTATAATGAAGTGCGTGAAAATCTAAAAGGCTGCTTTCTGTCAAAACAAGGGCATGTTATGTATAAATGTTTACTGTACTCTCCTGACTTCTACATGTTTTTTTTCATGTGTGGCAGCAGTGTATCATTCCAGAATGACGATTTCGTCTTCCTGTTGTCCCCCCCAGGTTCTCTCGTTTTGAGAACAACGGCGGAGTCGTGCCCTTCAGTATAAAGGGCTTCGGTATAGTCACGTGGGCGTACGCACCAGACGGCACCAGAGTCCTCGGATCCCACGACAGCAACAAGTAAGTTCTCCCGAACCTGTGCCCCGAACCTCTGTCCCGAACCTGTGCCCCGAACCCTGCATGAACCTCACATTCCGAACCTCTGTCCCAAACCTTGTGCTCCAGTCTAGTGCTTGCCTAGCATCGGCAAACGCAAATCCAGATTGATTTCACCTGTGACGCTGCTGCTCCCCCGCCCGCCCCGCGCCCCTCCTCCCCTTCCTAGCCCTCTCCTGGCAGTGTATCGCGCATCTCCTTCCGAATCTCCTTCCGAATTCCCTTTCCTCCGCCCCTCCACCACCCCACGCCTCCCTGTTACCCCCCTCCCCACCCTCCTCCCCTTCCTGGCCCTCTCCTGGCAGTGTATCGCGAATCTCCTTCCGAAATCCCTTCCAGCCTCCCTTTCCCTCCGCCCTTCCTACACCACCCCACGCCTCCCCCTCACCCCCCTCCTCCCCCTCTCGGCCAAGCAGTGAATCACGCATCTCCTTCCGAATTCCTTTTCAGTCTCCCTTTCCCTCGCCCTTCCTACCCGTCCCCACGCCTCCCCAACCTCTTCCCTCCCACCGAGGGTCGGAACACGTTGGTTTCTCCTGCGACGTTGCTGCTCCCTGCTCCCCTCCTCACGCACCCGCTTTCCTCCTGCCCCCCACTTCCCCCCCAGAGGTTCATCACAGACAGATATCTCCTGCGGCGCTACTGACTTTTGAGTCGACTCAAAAGTCACCTCGTTTTCTCCTGCGACGCTGCTGCTCCCCCGCCCGGCCCTGAGCCTGACCTCCCTGCATTCTCCCGCCTGACCCTTTCTTCTCCACTCCCTCCCAATCCTTCCCCACCCAATCAAATCCCCCCAGAGGATCATCACAGACAGATATCTCCTGCGACGCTGCTGCTCCCCCGCCCGCTGCTGACCTCCCTGCATTCCCCCTCCTCACCCTTTCCTCCCCACCCCCTCCCTATCCTCCCCCACCTCTCCTCTCTCAGAGGGTCATCACAGGTTGATGTCTCCTGCGACGCTGCTGCTCCCTGCTCCCCTCCTCACACACGCGCTTCCCCCCTGCCCCCCACTTTCCCCCTGCCCCCCACTTTCCCCCTGCCCCCCACTTTCCCCCTGCCCCCCACTTTCCCCCTGCCCCCCACTTTCCCCCTGCCCCCCACTTTCCCCCTGCCCCCCACTTTCCCCCTGCCCCCCACTTTCCCCCTGTCCCCCAATTTCCCCCTGCCCCCCACTTTCCCCCTGTCCCCCAATTTCCCCCTGGCCCCCTCTCGTCCCGCTCAGAGGATCATCGCAGATCCATTTCTCCGATTTGTTTGAGATTAGTTTTGAGAACTCTCAAAACTAACTTCTCCTGCAACGCTGCTGCTCCCCCGCGTGTGATAAGTCGACTTTTGAGTCGACTCAGTTTGATAAATCGACTTATCACGCAACGCTGCTGCTCCCCCGCCCGCTGCTGTCCTCCCTGCATTCCCCTTCTTGACCCTTCCCCCCTCCCCTTCTCCCCACCCCCTCCTCTCCCCCCCCCCCCAGAGGATCATCACAGATCGATTTCTCGTGCGACGCTACTGCTCCCCCGCCCGCCCCCCGCTCCTCCTCCTCCTCATGGCCCGGGCATTATGCTCACTACATTCCCTTCCGCATCCCACTTAATTCTCCCTTTCCTCCGTCCCTCCTATCCCACCCACGCCTTCCCCACTCCTCTCCCCCCCCCAGAGGATCATCACAGATTGATTTCTCGTGCGACGCCACTGCTCCCCCACCCGCCTCCCGCCCCACCTCCTCCTCGTCGCCCGGCCAGAACTGCAAGAAGTCAGCCCTGGCAGGATACCAGTACCAGACCAACCTGCAGGGCAGCAGGTGAGATGTGATAATATGAGAGGTGTGATCATAAGGTAGTTCGCATGTGTGCCTGCACACGTAGCCATCTCACCCCCCCACCTCCTCCTCGTCGCCCGGGTGGAACTGCAAGAAGTCGACTCTTCAAGGCTACCAGTACCAAACCAGCCTGCAGGGCAGCAGCAGGTGAGATGTGGGCGTGATTTTATGAGATGTGTTTGTAACGAAGCTGAATGGTGTGCCTATCGGGGAGTAGTTACCACCTTCACCTCCTCCTCCTCTTCCTCGCCCGGGCACAACTGCAAGAAGTCAGCCCTGGCAGGATACCAGTACCAGACCAGCCTGCAGGGCAGCAGGTGAGATGTGATAATATGAGAGGTGATTGCAATGAAACTGAGAGGCGTGTCCATAGAGAGGTAGGGCCTCCCCGCCTCCCGCCCCACCTCCTCCTCCTCGCCCGGGAAGAACTGCAAGAAGTCAGCCCTGCCACTGCCTTGCCACTGCCTTGCCACTGCCTTGCCACCATCTCAGTCTCCCCCAACCTCCTCCTGCACTGGAAGGAAGCAGCAGGGAAGCAAGTGGACGTGGCAGTGGCTGCCAAATCTGCAGTCCAATAGAACACCATGTAGGGAAGCAAGTGGCCTACATGGTGTTCTATTGGGCAGCAGGGAAGCAAGTGGACCTGGCAGTGGCTGCCAACTCTGGCAGCCCGGCCAAAGACAGATGGATGGAGCAACCCCATTCAATTCCTCCTCTTCTCCCGCTTCCCCCCTTCCTCCAACCCACCTCCTCCTGCACTGGAAGGAAGCAGCAGGGAAGCAAGTGGAAATGGCTGTAGAGGCAAAATCCAATAGTCCGGCTAAGGACGGGTAGATATCCCTGGCTTGGAGCAACCCCAGTGGCCGAATGGTTCCCTCCGATGCAGTCATCGGGACCTTTTCAACCACCTCTTCCCCCGCTTATTCCCCCGCCTTCCTCTCCCCTCGCCCTTTTGCAGTCTGCTTTTGCACTGGAAGGAAGCAGCAGGGAAGCAAGTGGAAATGGCAGTAGAGGCCAAACCCGGCAGCCCAGCGAAAGTCGGATGGATGTCCCTGGCTTGGAGCAACCCCAGCGGCCGAATGGTGCCCTCCGATGCAGTCATCGGGAACCTTTACGGCGGGGAGATTTATGCGTACAAGGTGCCGGGTTACTCAAGTGATTCGCTGTCGCGAGACGGGTTTGATATCGGGAGTGGCGCGAGCACCAAGACGGAGGGGGGATCGGTTATTATGAGGTGCGTTTTGTTTTCCCTGAATTTGGAGTAAGGCTTTGCACCGGGAACGAATCACTGTCGCGAGACGGGTTTGACATCGGGAGTGGGCCGAGCACCAAGACGGAGGGAGGTTCAATCATCATGAGGTGCGTTTGGATTGGGGCTTCCGGGGAGATCCACGCGTATAAGGTGCCGGGTTACTCGAGTGATTCACTGTCGCGAGACGGGTTTGACTTCGGGAGTGGCGCGAGCACCAAGACGGAGGGGGGATCGGTTATTATGAGGTGCCGTTTTTTTATTGCCGTTCTGAATCTGCTTTTGAGTCGACTCAAAAGCATGAGGTGCCGTTTTTTTATTGCCGTTCTGAATCTGGAGCGTTGCAGTATTTGAGTCGACTCAAAAGGGGAATGATGTGGGGTTGACCCTCAAAGGCGCTTTTGAGTCGACTCAAAAGCTGAATCGGGTCGACTCAAAAGCCGAATCTGGAGCGTTGCAGTTTTGGGTTGTCTCTGGGAGGAGAATAAGTCCAGCTGACGCTGTTTCTTTTCGATAGCTTCAACTTATTTGACCATCCCGTGTTTTTCAGTCGCATGGACAACACGGAATGGTCAAATAAGTTCAAGCTATTGAAGAAGAAGAGCCTCATTTGAGCTTACTCCTCCTCATCCATTCCCCTCCTTTCAAGCTTTCAGCTGGACTTATTCTCCTCCTCCATTCTTTCTCGCTCCTACCATCCCCACCAGGTTCACGCGGATAGACAAAACGGGATGGTCGAATAAGTTCAAGCTATCGAAGAAGAGCAGCCTCATCTGGGCTTATTCGTCGTCCATTCCATTTGTCACTTCTCCCTCACAATCTCTCACACTCGCTTTCTCACTCACTCCCACACTCCCCCCCTCGGCATGGCCACCAGGTTCACGCGCACGGATAACACGGGATGGTCGAATAAATTCAAGCTATCAAAGAAGAACAGCCTCATCTGGGCTTACTCGTCCTCGGGGTCCAAAACACTAGGGTCTCACGGACGCAACTAGTAAGTGTGCTGGGTCTGCCTTTAACGAGTATATGTCTAGAGCTATTGGGGAAGAACAACCTCATCTGGGCTTATTCGTCCTCGGGATCCAACACGCTGGGGTCACACGGACGCAACTAGTAAGTGTGCTTATCTTTGAGTCGACTCAGTTTGTGCTAATAACGAGTATGAGACTTGAGCTATCGAAGAAGAACAGCCTCATCTGGGCTTACTCGTCCTCGGGGTCCAAAACACTAGGGTCTCACGGACGCAACTAGTAAGTGTGCTGGGTCTGCCTTTAACGAGTACATGTCTAGAGCTATTGGGGAAGAACAACCTCATCTGGGCTTATTCGTCCTCGGGATCCAACACGCTGGGGTCACACGGACGCAACTAGTAAGTGTGCTTATCTTTGAGTCGACTCAGTTTGTGCTTATAACGAGTATAAGACTTGAGCTATCGAAGAAGAACAGCCTCATCTGGGCTTACTCGTCCTCAGGATCCAACACGCTGGGGTCGCACGGACGCAACTAGTGAGTGTGCTGGGTCTGCTTTTAACGAGTATGAGTCTAGAGCTATATCAGGGAAGAACAAGCTCGTCTGGGCTTATTCCTCGTCTGGATCCAATACACTGGGGTCGCACAGGAGCAACTAGTGAGTGTGCTTATAACGAGTATGCGTTTTCAGCTGTTCGGGAAGAAGAGCCTCGTACGGGCTTATGGTACTTCTTTTCTGGTTTCAACACACTGGGATCCCACGGAAGCAACTAGTGAGTGTGATGGGTGTGCTCATAACGAGTATGGATTACAAGTCGTCACAACCATATTCGCGCTTACCCCTTGAAAGCGAGGATCCAACGCACGGGGGTTCGACGGAAGCAACTCGTGAGTGTAACCGGCGTGGTTATAACGAGTATGGTTATATTATACAAACACTCCCTGTGGCCATTACGCTGTTTGTTCCTTCTTCCCTTCTCCCCTCTTTCAATGGTCGGCTCTCCTTTGATATCTCCTGACACGTCCCCAATACTGCCCCGTTTCCCCCTCACCAACCCCCTTCCCGCAGTGGCCGCCTCTCTGTTGATTTCTCCTGACACTTCCCCAATACTGCTCCTGTTCCCCCTCCCCAACCCCCCCCACCCCCCCTCCAGTGGCCGCCTCTCTGTTGATTTCTCCTGACACTTCCCCTCTTCCCCCTCACCACCCCCCTCCCCCAGTGGCCGCCTCTCTGTTGATTTCTCCTGCCGCACAGCACCTGCTAAGTCCCGCCCCGGCTTCTCGTGGTGGCCCAGGCGGGGTGGGGGGGGAGGAGGAAGGGATGGGGATGATGATGATGATGATGATGATTAGGTACGAGGGATGGACGGTGGCACAGCAAGGAAGGCACTGGCTCACATGTCACGTTCTGGTGGTGGCCCTGGGCAGATGGGGTGGGGAGGAGAAGAGGGGAGCAATGGGGATGGTGCTGACGATTAGAGGGAGAATGGGGAGAATGGTGTCCGTGAATTTGTAGGTTTGACTAGGTGTGACTTGGGTCGACCTGGGTTGGATGGACCTCTGAAAGTTGGCCCCTGGCTAACAAATTCAGATTAATTTACTTCAGAATACAACAAATGCTACGGAAACCCTCTTAAGGAAGTAAATTAATCTGAATGGTTGCTGTATTCTGCAGGTTACCACAGCTAATATAGGGTCCAACTAAACCGTGACACACGATCACACCACGTGCAATCACACTTTTTCTGAAGGTTTCTAAGCAAGTGCAATCAAGCCAAGTTGAAGAGATAATGTTGTTGCTCTATGTGCCACAGCATGTAAAACTAGACATAGACCAGAGCGGCTACAGAATGCGCAATGTGCACTATAGCTCTATTTGGTTATTCAGTCTGTCTAACAGAGACTGACAGTGCACTATAGCTCTATTTGGTAGCTGAGCGCTCGAGACGAGTGGCCCCGTGTGGACTGCATTATAACAATACCGAGGTACGTTGTAGCAAGGACTGCTACAGTGATTCCAAATAAGATGTTCCAAACCTGCACATGGAAGGGATTGGGGCAAAGAGTGAAGGACATGGTGCGGTAATTGAGGGGAGGTGGAATGGCTTCTGAGGCGTCTAAAAAGTCAAAAGCTGCAACTAAACCTGCTAGCGGGCAGCAGGAGGTTGGACAAGGAGTGGTGAGGCACAGAGCGGGTTGGATAAGGAAAGGCGAAATGTGAAGATAAGGTTTCGTGAAACCCATGCCCACCCATGCCCACCCACCCATGCCCACCCATGCCCACCCATGCCCACCCCTGCCCACCCCCTGCCCACCCCCTGCCCACCCCCTGCCCAACCCCTGCCCACCCCCTGCCCACCCCCTGCCCACCCCCTGCCCAGCACTGCCAGAACTAGCAGGCCATGTGCAAACCGCCATGACAGCCTGCTACTAGCTCCCTTGTCCCGCCGCAGAAACCCCAGCACCCCCAGAAACCTCTACAAAGCTCGCCCCTACACCCCTCCAGTTCCCTCACCAACACAACACTGACCTGAACAGACGAGAAGAAGACGATGCCGTAAAGCTTCAGGCCTGAGAAGGCATTGGCCCGCCCCATGCCCAGCACTGCCAGACCTAGCAGCCCATGCGCAAACCTCGACCCCCCACACCCCCCAACAAACCCCACTGTTTTGACTACATAGTACATACCGTGACAGACGAGAAGAAGATGATGCAGTAGAGCTTCAGGCCGGAGAAGGCATTGGCCCGCCCCATGCCCAGCACCGCCAAACCTAGCAGCCCATGCGCAAACCGCCATGACAGCCAACAACCCCCAACAAACCCCAGTGTTTTGACTACATATATGGTACATACCGTGACGAGTCGGTTTTTGAGTCGACTCAAAAACCGACTCACCCTACGTACATACCGTGACAGACGAGAAGAAGATGATGCCGTAGAGCTTTAGCCCTGAGAAGGCATTCGCCCACCCCATGCCCAGCACTGCCAGACCTAGCAGCCCATGCGCAAACCGCCATGACAGGCGGTTACTAGCTCCCTTGTCCGGCCGCAGAAACCCTAACACTGGCTGCACCAGCACCAGCAGCAGCACCACGAGGCCCATCTGACCGTGCGATTGGCTCAGGCCGTCCGATCCGACGGCTGCGAACGCGAGCGTGCAGCCGAGGAGGCAGCAGAGGAGGGCTGAGAGGTTTAGGTATTGATGGTAGGAGAGGGCGTGGAGTTGGAGGTTTGGGAGGAAGGAGAGAGAGGGGAGGAAGGGGTGGGGTTGGAGGAGAGATGCGCTGGTGGTGGGGGAGAGAGGGGGGGAGAGAGGAGGGGAGGCGTCAGGAGGAGCGGCGGGACGGAAGGAGGAGGAGGAGGAAGAGGAGGGGGCGTTGGTGGTGGGGGGGGAATCTCGCAGCAGCTGCTGCTGCTGCTTTTGGATCAACCCAGACGCCATTTCGGACGATCCTTGAGAATCATCAAAACGTAGAGATGGGTCTGACCCGCTGGTTCCAGCATCAGGATCGTGGGAGTGAGATGAGTAGTGGGAGGAGGAGTGGTGGGAGGAGGAGTGGAGGAAGGGGAGCGAAGAGGGGCCTGAGAGGAAGAGGCGGGCAACGAGGATTGCGGAGGGCATGAGAAGGAAGAAAGCGAGAGAGAGGAAGACCGCGTGGGCTATCAGCGCGGAGGAGGTGGAGGAAGAGTAGGAGGAGGAGGAGGAGAAGGAGGAGGAGGAGGAGGAGGAGGAGGAGGAGGAGGAGGAGGAGGAGGAGGAGGAGGAGGAGGAGGAGGAGGAGGAGGAGGAGGAGGAGGAGAGAGGGGAAGATGAAAGAGAGGTGGAGGGTGACGAGGAGGAAGGAGGGAAAGAGGAGGAAGAGGGTGAGGAAGGGGAGGTGGATAACGGAGGAGAGGTGGAGGGGGAGGAGGGGGAAGCAGGTGGGGAGGAGGTTGAGGAGTGTTTGGAGTCGCCTGTTATGATGTCGATTACGGTGGCGCCCCTGTTATGATAGGTGCAGAGCGGTGGAGTATGACGAAAGAAAGGAAGAAAGGAAGGAGAAACGAGAGATTATGTAAAACGAGAGGTGAAGAATGCAAGGGGGGAAGGAAGGACGAGGGGAGGAGGTGGAAAGGAGGAGAAAGAGGGGATGTGTGAAAAAGAGGGGCTAAGAAGCCTTTATGCACAAATGAGCACATGCAGACATGCATATGCCACACATGCAGACATGCATATGCCACACATGCAGGCATGCATATGCCACACATGCAGACATGCATATGCCACACATGCAGACATGCATATGCCACACATGCAGACATGCATATGCCACACATGCAGACATGCATATGCCACACATGCAGACATGCATATGCCACACATGCAGACATGCATATGCCACACATGCACCCACCTGTTCTGCATGTGGAATTCGAGGTTCTGCGACCCATCCCCCGCGTACGCCCATATGATGTTGGCCAGCCCATTCTCGTGCATCGGGTTCATGCCCGCTCCAAACACACGCTCGAACCTGACGGCAAGATGGGTGAAGGGAGGAAAGGTCACAGAGGCAACATATGCAGGAGCAGGAAACAAATGGTACGAATTTTGAGGTGCCTCGAAAGCCATATGATGCTGGCCAGCCCATTCTCATTCATCGGGTTCATGTCTGCTCCAAGCACACGCTCGAACCTGCGGGAAAGACGGGCGGAGAGAGGATAGATCACAGGGGCAGCACATGCAGGAGCAGGAATCGCATGCAGGCCCATGTGATTTTGGCTGGACCATTCTCGTGCATCGATCGAGTTCAGGCCTCAGTCTTGTTCCTGCTCCAAACAACATCACATGGAACACGACCGAGGCATCGATCGAGTTCAGGCCTCAGTTTGTTCCTGCTCCAAACAACATCACATGGAACACAACCGAGGCATCGATCGAGTTCAGGCCTCGGTCTTGTTCCTGCTCCAAACAACATCACATGGAACACAACCGAGGCATCGATCGAGTTCAGGCCTCGGCCTTGTTCCTGCTCCAAACAACATCACATGGAACACAACCGAGGCACTCGAAACAAGGCATGTCGAACCAGACCACCACGTACCAAATGAGAACGCCCCCACTGCCGGCGGCATGCCCATGCCCGTTGCCCCGTACGGCAGGTTGCCTATGGCAGTGCGTTTCAGCACGTTTCAGTGAGTCTCAGTGTGCCTCAGTCAATGCACACCCAACGAAATCAATCCAGGAAACCACCAATCACCAGCTTACCAAATGAGTGTCCTGCCATTGACAGTTGCAACGCCGCTTTTGGCGGCTCGAAACAGCTCAGACAGGCTAATCGACTCTCGGCTGTACCCCCCGATAGAGAACGCCCCCACTGCCGGCATGCCCATGCCCGTTGCCCCGTATGGCAGGTTGCCTATTGCGGCATCGCTGCCGGCCATGCGGCCCATGCGGGACCAGCCGAGGGCCACCCAGCCTGTTGTGGCTGCATCGGCTGCGAGAGAGACTGAGGCCTTGTTGACCCGCCAGTGCAGGATGAAGCTGGGAGAGGGGTGAGGGAGAGGGGCGTTGCGAACAGAAAGACGAGAATGGGTGAAGGATTGGCAGTTATAGTGCGGGCAGGGCAGGGCAGGAAAGGGTAGCAGCAGATTACAGCTAGCAGGTAACCGGTTGCCAATGGCGGCATCGCTGCCGGCCATGCGGCCCATGCGGGACCAGTCGAGCCCCACCCAGCCTGTCGTGGCTGCATCGGCTGCGAGAGAGACTGAGGCCTTGTTGACCCTCCAGTGCAAGATGAAACTGGGAGGGGCGAAGGGGGGATGGGGGGGTTGCAAAGGGGTGGGGAGAGAAGAGGTGGAGTGGTTTGAATTGGCTGCTAGGGCGATTGCGGCCTTGATGACTCGCCAGTGGAGGCTGAAACTAGGGTGGGGGTTGGGGGGAGATGGAGCGTGCAAAGGGGTGGAGGGGGGTTGGAGTGGTTAGAGATGGCTGCGAGGGCGATTGAAGCCTTGTTGACTCGCCAGTGCAGGATGAAACTGGGAGGGGGGATTGGCAATGGAGAGGGGTCACAGGCAACGCCACGCAGTGTTGGCGGGGCGACAGGGGGGTGGCGAGGGGGGCTTTCTAGGAACGCACTCAAGCATGTGGTTAGAATGCAAAGGAAAAACTGGAGAGTGGAACTCACTTGCTGCCTCGGAGTTGGCGCGAGCAGGTGTGTCCCGGCAGGGGAGAGGGGTCACAGGCAATGCCGCGCAGTGCTGGAGGGGCCACAGGGGGTGGCGAGGGGGCTTTCTAGGAAGGCACTCAAGCATGTGGTTAGAAAGGGAGGGTGGTACTCTAACGGCAAGACAAGAAAGGGCGCTACTCACTCGCTGCCTCGTATTTCGAGACGTCTCAAAACACTCCTTTGTTCACGAGTGGCGGCAGCCCCATGGTTTTTGAGACGTCTCAAAACACTCCTTTGTTCACGAGTGGCGGCAGCCCCATGGTTTTTGAGACGTCTCAAAACACTCCTTTTCTAACGGCAAGACAAGAAAGGGCGCTACTCACTCGCTGCCTCGTAGCTGCTTCGAGCACGTGTATCCCGGCAGGGGGGAGGGGTCACAGGCAACGCCACGCAGTGTTGGGGGTGCCACAGGGGGGCGGCTGGTGGGGGAGGTGCAGGAGTAGTCCAGAAGCAATGCGCCACTGCGAGGGGAGGAGGAAGAAGGGGGAACGGGAATGGGGCGGTAGCAGGGATAGGAATGAGAACACCGCAGGGCGGGTAGGGGGGGCGGTGCAGGAGTAGTCCAGAAGCAATGCGCCACTGCGAGGGGAGGAGGAAGAAGGGGGAACGGGAATGGGGCGGTAGCAGGGATAGGAATGAGAACACCGCAGGGCGGGTAGGGGGGGCGGTGCAGGAGTAGTCCAGAAGCAATGCGCCACTGCGAGGGGAGGAGGAGGGATGGGGGGAGAGGAAGAGGAAGAAAAGAGAGGGGAAGAGAAGAGAAAGGAGACAAGGCGACAGAGTGACAAGCTGAGCCCAGAGGGTGAGTAGTCCAGGAGGGTGGCGAGGGGATGTGAAGGGCCGGCGACTCGGCGAGGACGGGGGGGGGCGGAAGAGTCCAGGTGCAATCCGCCAGTGGGGGGGAAGGGAAAGTCGTGGGGAAGAAGGAGAAAGCAGAGAATGAAGGGGTGAGTAGTCCAGGAGGGTGGCGAGGGGATGAGAAGGGTCGGTATGTGTGGTGTTGTGCACGCGTGTGTGTGCACGCGTGTGTGTGCACGCGTGTGTGTGTGAGTGCGTGCGTGTCTGTGCGTGCGCGCGCGCGTGAGTGTGCACGCATGCCTGTATGCATGGCAGTGAGGGGAGGGTCACACTGCCATACCGATTTGGTCCATGGTAGAGCGGCGTGGGCGAGTTGTCAGGCGAGTGCGCCCAGAGAATGACGTTGGAGGCATCCAGTGCCAGAGGCACCGCTGCTATGTCGCCTGCCGCCCTCTGAAACCTGAGGGGAGGGCGCAAGGGGAGGGAGGGGGGCAGGGAGGGGCGTGGGCGAGTTGTCAGGCGAGTGCGCCCAGAGAATGACGTTGGAGGTATCCAGTGCCAGAGGCACCGCTGCTATGTCACCTGCCGCCCTCTGAAACCTGAGGGGAGGGCGCAAGGGGAGGGAGGGGGGCAGGGAGGGGCGTGGGCGAGTTGTCAGGCGAGTGCGCCCAGAGAATGACGTTGGAGGCATCCAGTGCCAGAGGCACGGCTGCTACGCCACCCACTGCCCTCGTGAACCTGAGGGTGAGAAGGGGGGACGGGCGCAGGGGGAGTGAGGGGAGCAGAGAGCAGAGCCAGGAGCAGGCAGAGAATGACGTTGGAGGCACCTTGTGTGCCAGAGGCACCGCCGCTACAACGCCTGCTGCCCTCGTGAACCTGATGGGAGGGAGGGAGGGGAGCAGAGAGAGAGTTGACTTCTGAGTCGACTCAAGGGGAGTGCGCCCAGAGAATGACGTTGGAGGCACCTTGTGCCAGAGGCACCGCCGCTACAACGCCTGCTGCCCTCGTGAACCTGAGGGCGGGGCGGGCAAAGGGAGAGGGGAGTAGGGAGTGAAGCAGGGAGGAGAAGAAGAGGGATAGAAGTAGGGTTAGGATGAGAGCCGGTAGTTTAGCAGGGAGAAAAGCAGGTAGGAGGAGGTGGTAAGAGGGAAAGAAGGATAAGAGGGGGATAGCAAGGAGGGGATAGCAAGGAGGAACGCAGGGAGTCACTTTTGAGAATTCTCAACAGGGAGGAGGTTGTACGAGTGATTGTGACAGATAGCTCCAGGTGACTTTTGAGTCGACTCAAAAGTCACTTTTGAGAATTCTGAACAACACCCTTCTCAACAGGGAGGAGGTTGTACGAGTGATCCTGAGAGATATAGCTCCAGCCTCTGCATCCCCACACCCGAGGTGACTTTTGAGTCGACTCAAAAGTCAAGGACGAACGCAGGGAGGAGGTTGTACGAGTGATCGTGAGAAATAGTTCCAGCCTCTGCATCCCCACACCCACTCCCACCCACCTACACCTAGTTCCACCTGACTCCACACCCCATGCCATCCGCATTTCGTCCTCCCTTCTCCCCTCACTATAGTCGACCCCCTTGCATTAACAGACCCACTCCAGTTCGTCTTGCTGTATGAAAGCCAGACAGACAGCCCATGCCCATGCCCATGCCCATGCCCATGCCCATGCCCATGCCCATGCCCATGCCCATGCCCATGCCCATGCCCATGCCCATGCCCATGCCCATGCCCTCTGCTACCTCTCTCCCATCCAGCTTTGGAACACCCACACCCAACCTAGACATTGCCCCTGCGCGTCCCCCCTCCCCGCTCACCTCACGATGGTCCACCCCCTCGGATTCACAGTCACACTCCAGTTCGCCTTGCTGTATGAAAGCCCGTGCTCCATCCAGCTTTGAAACACCCATCCTAGACTCATATTACGCACCCATCCCCAATCCCCCCTCCCCTCCCACCCATCCCCATCCCCATTACCCTCTCACCTGACAATAGTCGACCCCCTCGGATTCACAGTCACACTCCAGTTTGTCTTGCTGTATGAAAGCCCGTGCTCCATCCGCTGCATCCCCTCTACAGAGTACCCTGCTATATGCACAGCCATAAGCGGTCCTGTAGCCTTCAGCCCTCCCCCTGCCGCGTTGGCGAGTATGGCATCGCTGCCTGCCATTCGCCCGTCCCACGACCAGCCAATCGCAAGCCAGCCTGCCTCCGCGCCGCTCTCCGGCTTGGCCTCCAGTGCCACGTGGATTGATGACGTGGCAGGGTGGACGGTCCAGTGGAGGAGGAGGCTGGGAGGGATGGGGTGTGGGAGAGTGTAGGAGTGTGTGAGAGAGTGGGAGAGGGTGTAGGATAGTGGGAGCGTGTGAGAGTGTGGGAAGTGTGGGAGAGTGTAGGAGTTTGTCAGAGAGTGGGAAGTGTGGGAGAGTGGGAGTGTGTGAGAGGTTGAAGATGCAAAGCAAGGGGAGAAATAGGATATGGGCAAGAAAACGACGACGGGGAGAAATAGAGGAATAGAAGCAGATGAGGGGAAACAAAACAACTGGGGAGAAGCAGATGAGGTGGCACATTCAAGTTGAATCAGTCGCAGCCACGTAAAGATATGGCTCCTATCTGGGGCTCCAGCAGACGAGGGGAAACAAAACAACTGGGGAGAAGCAGAGGAGGGCCAGAGAAAGAGGGGAGAGGGAAAAAGACAAACAAAGCAACCTCTAACGCACCTGCCACCTGACGCATCAAATCCCAAAAGCCACGTGGCACTCACCCGTTGGTGGAGAGCTGCGTGGAGTGCGTGTACCCGCCCAACGTGGACGGCTGGCATCGCGCCACTTGTAACACGCTGCTGACCGTCGCCCATTGGCTGGTTTCTTGCAGCATTCTCGAGCCGCCAGTGTCCGCCTCCCATTGGTTGGTTTCTTGCGGCATTCTCGAACCGCCAGTGTCCGCTTCCCATCGATCGCTGGCGGCATTGTCACGAATCAGACCCGAGACGCCATGCTGACTCGCTACGCTTTCGAAAAAACTCCCTTTTCTGAATCCCTGTGCCAAGCTACTGCTGCCCTTAAGCTGACTCGATAAGGAATCGCGAGACGCGGCTAAAGCGCGTAAATCCGGTGAATGCGGAGAAATAAAAACGAGCAGCAAGTGGAAGAGCGAGAGGACAGGCAGTAACAACCGTCGACGGTGAATAATGTGGTCGAAATGAGTTCGATTCGCCATGGCGAGTATACGGGCTCGACCAGTAGTACCGATAGTAAGCATCAGTAGTGGCGTCACAACAAATTATAAGCTAGATTCCCGAACTAATTATTTTATTACCGCTGCTTTAGCTGCATTGCTAGTCTGACGGAACTTGAAAGACAACACCAGAGCTTACTAGATTTAGGATGCAACGTGAAGCATTGCTAGCTAGAAATGCCGTCCGAAAATACTTCGGCAGTCATGGTCGTTGGCTGCAATCGTCGGCAATTCCGAGGGCTCGCGATTTTCGGTTCACAACCACGCGATTGCTTCCCGAAAGGTTACCATAAGTAAGCAACATGATGCCAATAACCCTGATCGTAACAACTCTGGATGATATATTTTCTTGAGTTGATATTAAACAATTCATGTCAAATCAAGTTAAGGGCATCTATCATTATTATGCCCGGCTAGCATATGCACTGTACTGAGGCCCTTCTGATTTGCTTTTCTCAAGCTGGTCGCGGCATACGAAGAGCATGTACACAATGACAAACACTGCCATTATGATGCCTAAAAATGCTTCGAGGCCCTGCAATGCACCACAAGCGGAAGGAAACTTGAGCTCAACCAGCAAAAAAGGAATCAAAACTTAACAGGGTATAACAATAACAAGAGCCACGAACCATACTAATAATGCAAGGAGCCGCCCCTTTGAACTTGTGGCACAACTGAAAAGAAATGACAAACTCACAAATGGATCACTTCCGATGAAGCTGAAGTATAGGTTCATCCCGAGGAATATATTCGCCCATCCCATCACCACCGCCGCAATCCCAACTGTCCAATGCATCCAGTGCCACGTGGTCTTTGTCCACATGGCAAACTGCGGTTGGTCAATTCCTCCATTCCTGTTGTTGCGCGGGCGGAGGAAAATGACGAGTGGTTGGCAGACGAGGAGGAGGATGAGGACAGCAATGCCGACCCACGCGTGGGTGTGACTCAAGCCGTGAGTCCCAGATGAGACAAACGCTGTGATGCACCCGATGAAGATACAGACAAGAGCAGCCACTTGCAGATACTTGTGCCATGCAAACCAGAACGCTCGGCTCTGCTGCAGCTGTGAAATCATATCCCTCCCCTCCTGCCGCCGCTGCTGGGCTGCACGTGCTGACGTGGCACCCTGTGCACCAGCCACGTCAGCAGCTGACTCAGCATGGGCAAAACTAGCCATGCTGGCATCTAGCTGGGCGTTGGCTTCAGCAAGCCGAAGCGGGCCAGTGTGCGTGACTCTACCCAACGGGACTGTACCGAGGCCACTACTGCTGCTGCTGCTGGTGCTCGTACGACAGTTTTCGTCGTTTCCAGGAAGGTTCACGAGGCAGATCCGGGCAAGGAGGATGGCGGAGGGCATGAAGATGAGGAGAGCAGTGATGAGACAGATGGCATGGGCTATGATGGCTGGCTTGTTCAAGTGCGGAGGGGCGGAGGCGGAGGGGGAGGAGGGGGGTGGAGAGGCAGTGATCGATTCTCCTGTGACCAGGTTGATAGACACTGCACCCCTGTTGAGGGAGGAGAGAAGGGGGAGGGAAAGGCAAGCAAGACAAGGACCATTTGAGGGGAGAAGAAGAGTTTGCTCAGTTTCACAAGGGGCAGATGCGGGCAAGGAGGATGAGGAGGGCAGGAGGATGGAGGAGGGCAGTGATGAGGAGGGCAGTGATGAGGCAGATGGCTATGAAGGCTATGAGGCATGGGCTATGAAGGCATGGGCTATGATGGCTGACTTGTTGAATTGAAGTGAGGAGGGGGCGAGGTGGCGAAAGGGGAGTATGGGGAGGCGAGTTGATTCCATGTCCGGTTGAGCCCATTTCCCCAATGCCACTCCCCAGGAGGCTTCTGGGAACCTCACCTGTTGTTTCCGTGGAAGGTGAGCTTCCTGGAACCTTCGTTGGAGTACGCCCAGATGATGGTTGCCACGTCAGCAGCGGAAAGCGGCAACTGTCCGTTCACTAGTGGCCGCTCAAACCTGCATGATGGGGGGGGGAAATGGGGGGGAGAGGTGAGGTGGGGGGGCCATGCGGAAGAGAGGTGACTTGACAAGTCATACACTAATTTGACAAGAAAAGCCAGATGAAAAAAAACATTTTTAGAGCACGCAGACTCACTTCATCACAGTCCTTCCTCTGCTCGTTGTTGTCACACTCGAATTTGTCACAGTGAACTTCAGCGCCGGACGGATGGCGCTCCTCTCGTATCCACCAATCAGGAACGACCCCACAGCTTGTTCCTCCTTTCCTGCCACGTCAGCACCGCCTCCTGTCTTGATGGTGCCACGTGGCAGGTTCCCAATGGCTGCCTCGCTGCCGGCCATCTTGCCGTCCTTGGACCAGCCGAGAGCGATCCAACCGGTGGTTGCCACGTCAGCAGCGAGGAGTAGGGAGGAGGGGGTGAGATGCCAGTGGAGAGTGAAGCTGGAGAGGTGGGTGGGGGGATTGGGGGAGGGGGGGGGGGGGGGGGGGGGGGGGGGACGAATGGGAAGAGAAGGGAGGGGGGTGAAAGAAAAGGAGGAGGGAGGAGGGGGTGAGTGCCTATGGAGGTTGAAACTGGGCAGTGGGCGGGTTGGGGGGATGGGCGGAGTGAACAAGAGAGGTGAAATAGGGGGTGTGCGGAGGAGTTTTGAGGCGCCTCAAAAATCGTCTAAGTTCACGGGGGAGAACAAGAGAGGTGAAATAGGGGGTGTGCACAGGAGGAGGAACGGAAGGATGGCAAGTCAACCGTGATGCAACACCCGTACAGCTAAAGCCATTCAGCTACAGCTGAAGGTAAGGCTGTAGGCAAGGCTGTAGCAGCGCTACAGGCAAGCCATTCTACAGCTACCTATAGCACTGCTACAGCCTCGCCTGTTGCCCTGCAGTTGTAACTGGGCAGGGAGACAGCTGGCAGGACTGCTACAGCTACAGCTACACCTATGTAGCATAGCTGGCACGAGTGCTGATAACCTTAGTGTGCGACAGTCGTGCTGCTACCGCCAAGTACCGCACTGCTACCGCCAAGTACCACACTGCTACAGGCAAGTACCGCACTGCTACCGCCAAGTACCGCACTGCTACCACCAAGTACCGCACTGCTACAGCCAAGTACCACACTGCTACCGCCAAGTACCGCACTGCTACAGCCAAGTACCGCACTGCTACCGCCAAGTACCGCACTGCTACCGCCAAGTACCGCACTGCTACTGCCAAGTACCGTAATGCTACAGCCAAGTACTACACTGCTACAGCGCCTCACCTGTCACCGTTCAGCTGTAGCATGCAGGTGTATCCCGGCAGTGTGGACGGCTGCTACAGCTGTGCAGCTACAGTCCAGCTACCGATAGCACTCCTACAGCCTCCCCTGTCGCCCTGCAGCTGTAGCCAGGCAGGGAGGAGGACTTGCAGGCCAGCTACAGCTACCTACTAGCTACAGCTACCCAGTAGCTACAGGTACCTACTAGCTACAGGTACCTACTAGCTACAGCTACCTACTAGCTACAGCTACCTACTAGCTACAGGTACCTACTAGCTACAGGTACCTACTAGCTATTGCTACAGCTATTGCTACAGCTGTTGCTACAGCTATTGCTACAGCCTCACCTGTCGCCCTGTAGCTGTAGCATGCAGGTGTAGCCGGGCAAAGTTGACGGCTGGCAGGATTGGCGGGCAGGCGAGGCGAGCAGGTCGCACATGTAATCCACAAAGGCGGAGCCCCTGGAGGGGGAGGAGTGTGGGGAGATGTTGTGAAGAAAGGACGGGGAGTAGCAAGGTGAGCGGGAAGGCAGGACTGCCTCGCGGGGCAGGCGAGCAGGTCGCACATGTAATCCACAAAGGCGGAGCCCCTGGGGGAGAGAGGGGAGGGGGGAGGAGGTGAGTAAACGGCAAGAGAAGGCAAGTGAGCTGGTTTTTGAGAATTCTCGAAAACGGCAAGAGAAGGCAGGTGAGCAGGGAGGTATGGGCAGGCGAGGCGAGCAGGCCGCACATGTAATCCACAAAGGCGAGCCCCTGGGGGGGGAAGGGAAGGGGGAAAACAGGGAGGTGGGCGCAGAAAAAGGAGGCGGTGAAGGGGAATAGGTGGAAGGCGAGGCGAGCAGGCCGCACATGTAATCCACAAAGGCGAGCCCCTGGGGGGGGAAGGGAAGGGGGAAAACAGGGAGGTGGGCGCAGAAAAAGGAGGCGGTGAAGGGGAATAGGTGGAAGGCGAGGCGAGCAGGCCGCACATGTAGTCCACAAAGGCGGGTCCCCTGAGGAGGGGGGAGGAAGGGGGGGGGAGAAAGAGGGGTAAAACGGGTGGGAAGGGGAGTGGTTCGAGAGGCAGAAGAGTTGGCTTTTGAGTCGACTCAGAAGTCAACTTAAAGAGGGGCAAAACGGGTGCGAAGGGGAGGGAGGGGTTCGAGAGGCAGAAGAGAGGGAGGGAGAGTTGCAGGGCAGGTCGCTCATGTATTCCACACAGGCGGAGCCCCTGGGGAGGGGAAGGGAGGGGAGGGGAGGAGGAGAGGAGGAGGGCACGGGGAAAGGAGGCGGAATAGAGGGGAAATGAGACAGGCTAGGCGAACAGGTCGCACGTGTAAGCCACAAAGGCGGGTCCCCTGAGAGGGGGAGAGGAAGGTTGGTGGAGAAAGAGGGGCAAAATGGGTGCGAAGGGGAGGGGTTCGAGAGGCAAGGCAGAAGAGTTGGCTTTTGAGTCGACTCTAAAGGTTAGGGGAGAAAGAGGGGTAAAACGGGTGGGAGGGAGGTGACTTTTGAGTCGACTCAAAAGTCACTCAAAAGGTTGGGCAAAATGGTGCGAAGGGGAGGGAGGGGTTCGAGAGGCAGAAGAGAGGGAGGGAGAGTTGCAGGGCAGGTCGCTCATGTATTCCACACAGGCGGAGCTTCTGGAGATACATGGGTGGGAGGGATGCAGGGTGGGTGGGGTGGTGGGAGGGATGCAGGGTGGGTGGGGTGGTGGGAGGGATGCAGGGTGGGTGGGGTGGTGGATTGATGAGAGGGATGCAGGAGAGGGATGCAGGAGAGGGATGCAGGAGAGGGAGGGAGGAGAGGGAGGGAGGAGAGGGAGGGAGGAGAGGGAGGGAGGAGAGGGAGGGAGGAGAGGGAGGGAGGAGAGGGAGGAGGAGAGGGAGGCAGGAGAGGGAGGGAGGAGAGGGAGGCAGGAGAGGGAGGGAGGAGAGGGATGCAGGAGAGGGATGCAGGAGAGGGATGCACATGATGGAGCCTCTAGGGGAAGGGGAAGGGCGGGAGGGAGGGGGCGGGGAGGGGGTTTGGGTGGGTAGGGCCAGCTTACCTGGATGGCTCATGATGTACGTCAACTCACTCGGTGATTCACGTGCTTAAAACATGTGTGCTTTTAACGAGGATAAAATGCACCCACCTGTTCCTGCCATGGTATCGAAGCACGTCCTCTGGGCTGTTTGAGTACGCCCAGATCACGTGGTGGCTCATGCTGTACGTCGGCCCGTTTGAAGAACCACGTGCTTATAGCGAATGTGCTTGAAACGAGCGCCATACTATAGGGACACCCACCTATTCCTGCCGTGGTATCGGAGCACGTAGTCTCGTCGACCCGAGAAGGCCCAGATCGCGTGGTGGCTCATGCTGTACGTCGGTTCACCACAGGGCGTTTCATGTGCTTGAAGGGGGTGTGAGTTGGCCCAGATCGCGTGGTGGCTCATGCTGTACGTCGGCTCGCTCCAAGGGCTTCATGTTCTTTAACCGGATGTGCTTGTAACAAGAACATGAACCAGTTCCTGCCGTGGTATCGAAGCACGTCCTCTTGTCGGTCAGAGTAAGCCCAGATCACATCGTGGCTCATGCTGTACGTCGGCTCGCTGGAGGGGTAATTATGTGCTTATAACGAGGTTATGTGTAACAACTCAACACACACCTGTTCTTGCCATGGTATCGAAGCACATCCTCTCGTCGATCCGAGTAGGCCCAGAGCACATGGTGGCTCATGCTGTACGTCGGCTCGTTAGAGGGGGTTCCTCCCCCTGGTGTGCTTATAGCGGTTGTGCTTGTATTGAGGATGGGCGGGTTCGAGGCGAGGCTCCGGGAGAAGCTGGATGGGGGCAGCATGGGGATGGGAGGAAAGGGATGCAAGAGCGGGGGAAAGAACGGACGGAAGGCAGGTGGAGGAGGGAGTGGGGGTGGTTTTGTTGGAAATTAACGAGAGGTAAAATCGGCTGAGAGAGAGGAGAGACAGAAAACGCAGGGAAGGGAGGAGAGGAGGGGAGTGGCGGGGAGGGGTAAGCGTGTGAAAGCTTTTGAGTCGACTCAAAAGGAGTGGCGGGGAGTGGCGGGGAGTGGCGGGGAGGGGTAAGCGTGTGAAAGGGGGGTGAGGAGAGGTTAGGCTTTTGGAAATCTTAAGAAGCAGCTAGCGAGATGAACGAGGGGGCACAGCTAGAGAGAAGGAATAACAAAGTTGACCGACACACGCCCCAGCTGACTCATCCACCACACCCGCTGACTCATCCCCCACACCAGCTGACTCATCCCCCACACCAGCTGACTCATCCCCCACACCAGCTGACTCATCCGCTACTACAGCTCACCGCATTACAGTCGACCCTCGAGCTGACGTGTAAATGCTCCACCCCTCCCCACCGCTCCCCACCTCCTCTCCTCCCCCGTTCCCTGTAGTTTCCACCAATCGCCGCACATCTTCCAGCTTATACCCGCTAATAGCATACGACGCCACGCCAGCCGCGCCGCCCAGAACACCCACTTTGCCGCCCGAACCCATCCCCTTGCCGCCCGGAGCTTGGGCGGCAATGCCGGCCGGAGATCCCACGATCGCCATGCTCGGGACCATGCGACCGTCGTGCGACCATCCCACGGCGACCCACCCGTTCTCCGCGCCGCTTCCGAAGCGCGCCTCGAGCGCGAACTCGAGGAAGAGCAGGTTGCGGCGCACCCAGTGGAGGATGAGACTGGGGGGGGAGATGAAGGCGGGGAAACGGGGAGATAGGGGTAGAGTGGGCGGGAGTTGGTTTTTTGTTGACTTAAAGCGCGCCACGGGAGCGAACTGGAGGAAGCGGGTGTTGCGGCGCACCGAGTGGAGGATGCGACCGGGGGGGGGGGAATGAGGGGGAGGTAGGGGGAAAGACGGGGGAGATAAGGGGGAAATGGGCGGAAGTTGGGAGGAAAGGAAAGGGTGAATCACCCGATAGTTCGGAACTATCGAGTTGATTCCAAGCGCGCCTTTCCGGCGATCTCGAGAAAGAGAAGTTTGGAGGCGCCGCACCCAATGCAGAACGAGACCGGTGTGGGGGGGGGGAGGAGGGGGAAATGAGGGGGAAGACGGGGGAGATAAGGGAGAAACGGGCAGAAATTGGGGGGAAAGGGAAGGGTGGAGTATTGAGTTGATTCCAAGCGCGCCTTTCCGGCGAACTCGAGAAAGAGAAGTTTGGAGGCGCCGCACCCAATGCAGAATGAGACTTTGCGGGGGGTGGATGAGGGGGGAAATGGGCGCAACAGTGGGGAAGTGGGCGGAAGTTGGGGGGGGGGGGGAGGGGATGGCTTGCGGGGGAGAGATGGGGGGAAAAATGAAGAAGAGAGCCCCTCAGATGCCGAAGCGCGCCTCGAGCGCGGACCGGAGGAAGAGTGCTCGTTTACGTCTCTTTCCCTTCGTTTCAGTCACACCCTTGCCTGAAAGCGCCGGCCCCTCATTTGAATCACCCCCTTCACAAGCACACACACCCTTACCCGGCCTTCGACAAAACCACCGAGTGGCTGAATCCCGCCAGCCCCGACGGCAAACACGACCCCGCTTACGTCACCTTCTCTTCGCTTCAATCACCTCGTAACTCAGCACACATGCCTTACCCGGCTTCCGACAGAACCACCGAGTGGCTGAATCCCGCCAGCCCCGACGGCAAACACGGCGCGACGAACGCGGCGCCCTCGCTACCGTCCAAATGCCCCAATGGGTCCCCGTGCCACCCGAAACTCGCCTCTACCGCCGCCACTTCCGCATCACCTGCCGCCGCCGCCGCACGTGTTCCGGCCGGAGGTGCTGCAGCTGCGAGTGGCGGCTGGAAAACGACGACGCAGATTAGCGTCCAAACACATAAAGCCGGGCATTTCAAGAACCATGTTCGAGCCGCGATGCGGGAAATACGCTTCTTGGATTCGATCATTAGTGCGGTGCGAACGGAGTCGGCCGATGGTAATTCGTCCGCTGAGCACGCAGCGCAACTTATGGGAGAATGGCGGGAATGTTCATCCAAACGTCTGTGAACCGACGGCGGAATTGAGAAAGTCGAGGGAGTTACGGAAATCACGGTTTTAGTTCCCTCGAAGTTTAGGGCGGTGGTAGTTTCTAAACCGCGTAAAGGCGCTGATAGTTTCTTCCTTGACGGCGGATGGGGGATACGCGCTATTGAATGATGTGTTACAAGCGAGTCGCACTGTTGGGACATGACGTCTCGTGACGTGCCAACCGCCGCGCTAGCTGTGATAAGCAACTCTTAGTAGTGGCCTAGTTGGTTCAAACGTCGGAAACCTGAAGTGAATCGCCTATCAAGCTAAGTTCTTTTGCTCTGTGTGATCTACGTGGACGCTGCTCGCGGCGTTTCAATTTCGTACTGTAATGTGCTCGGAAGAGAGTTGCGATTCAATCTCTGAGCTTCATCCCAAATTTGCCGTCACAGAAGTGCTCCAGCCCGGCACCGTAGCCCTTGGTCGTCTCGCCTCCGAGCAGGGCAGGTTTGGTTGGGTTGGGAGGAGTGACCGTCGTTTCGGGCTGCGGTGCGGAATAACGGGCCCAGGGTTGTTCAGACAGGGCAGGGGCCAGGGCAAGCCGCATGGCATGTGGAGCGGAAGGCAGGAGAAGGTGTTTAGTGGAGAAGGGGCAGCTGGTAGAACTGTACCTGTGCGGTCCAGAATACACCACAGTTGAGTGTGAGAGCGTGCATTGCCCCCTAGCAAGCAAAACAGGTTTCAGGGATCGTCAGTTCGTCGTCGTGCAATGTGCGACAGGAGGAGACTATGGAGGTCTGCGACGGGTCGTCGTGATTCCTGAATGTGGTGGCAGTTCTATGGGCAGGTGCGTGGAGTCGGATAGTTTCGGTCGGGCTGGTCATAAATTTGTCGCACAGCGCGATCCGTCATCAATCCTCCCACACAAGTTTACAAAGCACAAGTGTATTTTCCACTGGTATCTGTTTCGGACGCAATACTTGGGAGATGATTTCGTTTCGGGACATCAGGAGATGTGAGAGTTGGGTGTCAAGGTTGTTTCTGTGAGTGCGGGCAGCAGGAAGTGGAAATTACACTTGTGCTTTGTATCCGAGACGAGCCGCGGATTCGAAATTTGCAGCATGAAAATTCGGCAATACCCGCCGCCGACCCGAATCGTTGACTCCACGGAAATGTCATGTCCGTGACCAAGCCACGTCAGATGGTGGACGCGCGGCGCGTCAATTGTGCTGGCTGGCATGGCAAGTTACCCGTTTAGGCTCGGAGAAAAGCAACAACCCTTCGTTGAGTACATCGATAATGCACTTCAGTCTATGCAGAGCAGCCACCTCTTCAGCATTGCAAAGACATCGCCAGAGAGCTTACAAGCCATGTTGTCAGGAATTTTCTCAGGCATTCCTTACGGAGCCGACTACATCGCGTACAGCAACAGCCGACTGTTCGCCCGTTACTGCTAACGGAACTTCGCCGACTTCGCGCGCACTGTTTTGCCAAACCTCGCACTGCTGGCATGGCCGTATCGGCCTACGCTTCGGGACTAGCCCGAGCCTCGCTCCAGCGTAGCACTAGCAAGTTCGCACGCACCGCGTTACCGTTTTGCATGTTTCGCGTATAAATGTTCGCTCATGCCTTCGCTCACATTTTGTACTCGTTTGACACCTTAGTGCAATTCTCGCTACCTCGATTCATTGCACCCGTAACACTTGGTTATCAGAGCCCCTTTCTTTCGGACCGCGCATCTCCGCACACCAGGAAATCAACTTTTGATTTTTCACTCGAAGGGACTCACGCACCTTAGCCCCTAGGAGCCGCTGTCCTCGCGTTCTCTCGTAAACGCGTGCAGCCACGACTGCGCCTAGACTAAGACGAGCCGACGCCCTTCGTCATGGCCGAAAACATCGACGTCGCCACTCTCACGCAGGAGCGTTTGAACGATCTGCTGCGACAACTGCACGAAAGCTCCGAGGAAATCGCGGCATTGACGGCAGAACGCTCATCACTGCAAAATGACCTCATGAGAGCACAATCCCAAGCACCTGGCACTCCGATTCAACCTGCACCCTCAACATCACAACACGGGAGTGTGGGGCAACCCGCGAGCGCGGCCAGCGATGGCGTCGTCCGCCCCGACGGAGACGACGACCACGGCACGACACACCCCAGAGCGACGCCTGCGGCCCCAAGTCAGCCTCGCGTCACGATTTCGGCACCAACCCACGATTCGGGACTGCCGTCACCGATGCCGCTGAAACCGCAGCGCCCGCCATGCTTTGACCCGAGTCAACGGGGTGGTCCTACCGTTCAGGCGTGGTTATTCACAATGAATGTTTTCTTCGACGCCAACTACGTCTCGGAGGACTCGGCGAAGATTCGATACGCCGTGTCGTTGCTGCGAGGACCCGCCATGGACTGGTGGCGCGTCATCGTCACGAAGCCGACCGACTACGCGACACTACCGACACGGGAAGGACAAACCGGACCCTGGGCGCCGTCGTATTTCGTGGAGGTGCCCCAGTATCGCACGTGGGACGCGTGGTGCGCAGGTCTGCGCGCTCGATTTGAGCCAATCGCGGCCTCGATCTCGGCGCGACAGAAGCTCCGCACTTGGCGCCAACTCGGTTCCGTCCAGGATTACACGAGCGGATTTCTGGCGCTATGCGAGCAGGTGGGCTACATGCATGAGAGCGAACGCATCGACCGCTACATCGGCGGCCTGAAGCAGGACATCGCTCAGGAAATCCAGCTTCGCGGCGTCACTGAGTTTCAGGAAATTCTCGCTATGGCGGAGAAGCTCGACTTCTTTCGCCGACCGAGACCGGGGTCCTACGGAAACAACACCTGGGGACATCGGCCTCGTGGGACGAACGAGAGCGCCACGATACGCGCCGTCGCCGCAAATGCCGCTGCCGCACCGTTCAAAGGGCGCTGCTTTGCGTGCAATCGGCCGGGACATCGCAAGAGCGAATGCCCGGAAAACGCTAAGGGAAAGGGGGAAGCTGAGCAGCAGACACAGACCAAGCAGCAGGGAAACGCTGGAAGTCAGTAGCAGACGGGCCCTCTACTGACAGGTCACGCCGCTCGCCCGACCCAACCGACCCTCACCGAGTGATTGTGCCGGTTCACGCAATCGACCACACCCGGCCGAATAAGGAGGGTACCACGGTAGATAGCCCTATACTGCTCAGTGGGAAAATTGGGACGGACTTAGTTAAAATCTTCGTAGACGGGGGAGCCAGCCACAGCCTCATTAACACTGCTACAGCACGAAAACTGCGACTGCCACTGGACCGATGCTTACCTGAGATCGACGCACGACTGGTAGACGGCACGCCGCTGGCAATACGGGAACGCGTAGACCGAGTTCGGATTCGATGCGGGGGTAACTTCACGTTTAGTCAGGGAATGCTCGCAACGACCCTCGACGGAACCGACATTTTACTCGGGCGTGATTGGCTGCGACGACACAACCCGCGAATTGACTGGACGACGGGTGACTGCACCGTGCGAGTGAACGGTAACAGCATCGCCTTACCTCGCTGGGGCTCGCCTGAGTCTTCGTCGGTGCGTGTCAACGCGATCACGATGAAACGCGCTGTTGCGGCCGGAGCCGACGTGTACGCGGTTGACATTCGGGAAGCCGAGGCAGCAGACAAGGGAGGCGATTTACAGAAACTGCTGACCGACGTACCGAGTGACCTGGCGGCACTGTTACAACAGTACAGTGACATTTTCCCGGATGACCTGCCGACGGGACTGCCACCTCAGCGACCGCACGATCACAGGATAGAACTGGAACCGGGGGCACAGCCAACAGTACAGCGACAGTTCCGACTGACCCAACCCGAATTAGACGAACTAAGGAAGCAGCTCGATTACCTGCTAGAAAAGGAATTCATTCGCCCTAGTTCGTCGCCTTTCGCCGCACCAATACTGTTCACACCGAAAAAGGACGGGGGTTTTCGCATGTGCATCGACTACAGGGCACTGAACAGGGTTACCATCAAATCCCGTTACCCCATCCCACGAGCCGACGAACTGATCGACCAACTGCGCACAGCCCGGGTTTTCTCGAAAATCGACCTCCGAGGAGGATACCACCAAATCCGCGTCAACCCACCCGACTGCCCTAAAACCGCATTCCGAACACGCTACGGATCCTTCGAATACACCGTCATGCCATTCGGACTGACCAACGCCCCCGCCACTTTCCAAATGACCATGAACGAAGCATTCCGCCCGCTTTTAGATAAGTGCGTCATCGTTTATCTGGACGACATACTGATTTACAGCCCTGACAGAGCACAGCACTTACAAGACATCGAAGCAGTTTTTAAAATCCTGAGTGAGAACCGCCTACTGACCAAAGCATCTAAGTGTGAGTTTTTACAGGACCGCCTGGAGTTTTTGGGACATGTTATTTCAGCTGCAGGAGTGGAAATAGACCCGAAGAAAATTGCGACGATTCAGGCTTGGCACGCGCCGACCAACTTGACCGAGTTGCAGAGTTTCCTGGGGTTCGTCAACTACGTGCGCCGGTTCGTCCCCGACATGGCGAAACTGACTGCCCCGTTGACTGACCTGCTGAGGAAGGGGGTTGAGTACACGTGGGGGGAGAAAGAGCAAGCTGCCTTCTCGGCCCTCAAAAATATTTTGTGCTCCCCGCCCGTCCTTCACATTGCAGATCCCCACCGTCCGTTCGAGCTCGTCACCGACGCAAGTGACATCGCTGTGGGAGCAGTACTGTTGCAGGATTTCGGGAATGGCCTCCAGCCAATCGCGTACGAGTCCCGCAAGTTACACCCGCCCGAACGTAACTACCCGATACACGACCGCGAGATGCTAGCGATCGTGCACGCGTTCAAAGTTTGGCGATGTTACCTGACTGGTGCCGACGTGACAGTACGGACAGACCACCGCTCGCTACAGTACCTTCGCGCCCAACCGAATCTCAACCCACGACAGATTCGCTGGTTGGACTATCTCGAGTCCAATTTTCACTACACCGTCACGTACAAAAAAGGAGCATCCAACATCGCCGACGCTCTCACCCGCCCCACCGCCCAACTCCACGCCATCCTACTCGCCCAGACCAACCCGCTTTTAACTGGCCTATTCACCCACGGATACCGCACCGACCCATTTTTTCACGACCGGAAATTCACAGCAACTGGCAGAAGCAAAAGGAGTTTATTACGTAAAAACAGGCACCAACCGCATTTGGGTACCCGCGTACTCACTACTGAGGGAGCTGCTGCTGCAGGAGGCACACGACGGGATTACCTCCGGACATTTCGGGGTAGAAAAAACACGACAGCAACTGCAGCGGTACTATTACTGGCCGGAGCTGTTGACCGACGTACAGCAGCACGTGGGCTCGTGCCCGACGTGTCAGGTGATGAAGAGTTCAAGGAAGCGGAAGGCGGGTCAATTGCAGCCGATCCCACCGCCCGAACGCGCCTGGCAGCAAGTAACCATGGACTTCGTCACAGGGTTACCTTCGAACCCTGGGGGTAACGACGCGGTGATGGTCGTCGTGGATAGGTTGACGAAGATGGCACACTTCGCTGCGTGCAAAAAGTCGATCTCAGCCGAAGAGACCGCTCGCCTGTTCATCGCAGCCGTTGTTCGCCTGCACGGGATACCAGCAGCAATTATCAGCGACAGGGACACGAAGTTTACCAGCAACTTCTGGAAGAACCTCTGGGAGCAGTTCGGGACCAGGCTACAGTTCAGTTCGTCGTACCACCCCGAGACCGACGGCCAAACGGAGCGGACGAATCAGACGATGGAGCAGTTGATTCGTGCCACGTGCGACGACCCCACGACCTGGGAGCAGCAGCTGCCGCTGATCGAGTTCGCGTACAACAACGCCACATCAACCACGACGCAGCAGTCCCCGTTCTACCTGAACTATGGGCAGAACCCCACAGTGCCCATGACGCCGAGTCCGGACAACCCCACGCCACGCGCACAACAATTCGCCGAAATCCTGCAAGCTGCCCGCGCCAGAGCCGCCGAAGCAATAAAAAAGGCCAACGTCATCGCTAAGCGCAACGCTGATCGCCACCGCCGCCCCGTCACGTATCAATCTGGAGATTACGTGCTACTCGACACGCAAAATCTGCGACTGCCCGACGTACCAAAATTACGACCGCGCTACTGTGGACCATTCCAAATCAGTCACATGATCACACCCGTCACCGCGCACCTACTGTTGCCAATTGACTGGTACATCAGCCCTTCGTTCCACGTCAGCCTACTTCGCCCATACATCCCGACCACGAGTCAACTGCCGCGTCACCGGCCACAATCAATGACTCGCCCTGCATCAGAGCCGATCATCGAGCCCGAGAAATTTTTGAGCCATCGGATCCGCCACCCCACGGGAATCAGGAGGATTGAATTCCTCGTTCGCTGGAAAGACCGCACGCCAACTGAAGATAGCTGGGTGCCCCTGAGCAACATCGAAAATCACCCTGCCCTGCAAGTGTACTTGAGAAGCCGGGGATTCCGGGATATACACGCACTCGCGTAGCGGAGGGGGCTTCTTAAGGGGGGGGGGTAGTGTCAGGAATTTTCTCAGGCATTCCTTACGGAGCCGACTACATCGCGTACAGCAACAGCCGACTGTTCGCCCGTTACTGCTAACGGAACTTCGCCGACTTCGCGCGCACTGTTTTGCCAAACCTCGCACTGCTGGCATGGCCGTATCGGCCTACGCTTCGGGACTAGCCCGAGCCTCGCTCCAGCGTAGCACTAGCAAGTTCGCACGCACCGCGTTACCGTTTTGCATGTTTCGCGTATAAATGTTCGCTCATGCCTTCGCTCACATTTTGTACTCGTTTGACACCTTAGTGCAATTCTCGCTACCTCGATTCATTGCACCCGTAACACATGTCAACAAATGACTAAGTAATGATACTGCATCCCAACCTATGCCTTTCAAGAAGCACTCCGTCCCTTGGAATGGAACAGCATCTGCAAGGCGCCACTGCCACCCCATAATCAGTAATGGAGCAACAAGTGTAGCTTATTCTAATGCCTTCTGCGCCTCTTATCATCATCGTCGTCGTCGTCGTCGTCGTCGTCATCATTATCATCGTCGTCCTCATCTCCGTAATCCTCCTCTGCCTTGCTAGAGGGAGCATACCGGCACGAAAAATCCACCTTTGCGGTGCCACTGGGGGCATTACAGCAAAACACAAGCAGCGCAGCAAGGCAAAGAAATTAGCAAATAAGAAATTAGTAAAAAAAGAGAGAGACCTTCCATTTCAGGGGGGTATGAGGCCGCTTCTTCATGAACAGGAAAAAAGAGAAGGGCGAGCGAGAGGGATAAAAGCACTTACTAGCTGTTGCCGTGGAAAGAAAGCGAGGGAAGGCCCGGGCGGGAGAAGGCCCAGACCAGCTTAGACAGGCCAGCCATGGGGAATCGCATCACCACTCCCGTGTTCTTGGTGCGAGAGAAGCTGTTAGGAGATGGTTGGGGGGGAGTGGGGGAAGAGTGAGCGGGGGAAGGCGTAGACGAGCGTGGTAAGGCCAGCATCACCACTCCCGTGTTCTTGGTGCGAGAGAATAGGAGATGGTTGGGGGGGGGTGGGAAGGGAGTGGGGAGAGAGGGGGGGGGGTGGGTGGTGTGAGCGGGAGAAGGCACAGATGAGTTTGGTCATGCATGCCATCCAAGAAAAATCGCATTATCATCCCCGAGTTCTTGATGCAAGCGGTTAGGGGAGGCAGCAGGTGATAGGGGATGGGGAGTGAAGATGCAATAGTCTAAGTGCTGTTGGTTGGAAGGAACTCCCATTCTGTACCCTGTATTAGCATACGTCAATGCAGCACCCTCGTGATAACAGTGTTGTTGTCCGCAGCTCTCATCGTGTAGCCCTTTATTAGCACACATACACCATCCTTATAACGCATCACCCACTCACGTGATAACAGTGTCATTCGCCGCGGTCGTGACCGTCGCCGCGTTACTCCCGATCGAGAACGCCGAAGTTGGCTGAATCCTGCCCATGCTGTACCCCTTAATAACATACGGCATTACAAGCCCGCCAGCCAGGTTCCCAATGACAGCATCAGCGGGCGACATCTTTCCTTTGGGCGACCATCCCAGGGCGATCCAGCCGTCCTTGGCCCTGCCTGCCGCCTTGGCCTCTATTGCCATGTCCACCTGCGTGGCTGACACTGGCGTCCAGTGCAGGAAGAGACTGGGGGGGGGGAGAGGGATGGGGGGTATTTGGTGGGGAAGGGAGGGAGGGGACATGGAAAGGGAGGAGAACGGGAGGAGAAAGGGAGGAGAAAGGGAGGAGAACGGGAGGAGAAAGGGAGGAGAAAGGGAGGAGAAAGGGAGGAGAAAGGGAGGAGAAAGGGAGGAGAAAGGGAGGAGAAAGGGAGGAGAACGGGAGGAGAAAGGGAGGAGAACGGGAGGAGAAAGGGAGGAGAACGGGAGGAGAAAGGGAGGAGAAAGGGAGGAGAACGGGAGGAGAAAGGGAGGAGAAAGGGAGGAGAAAGGGAGGAGAAAGGGAGGAGAAAGGGAGGAGAAAGGGAGGAGAAAGGGAGGAGAAAGGGAGGAGAAAGGGAGGAGAAAGGGAGGAGAAAGGGAGGAGAAAGGGAGGAGAAAGGGAGGAGAAAGGGAGGAGAAAGGGAGGAGAAAGGGAGGAGAAAGGGAGGAGAAAGGGAGGAGAAAGGGAGGAGAAAGGGAGGAGAAAGGGAGGAGAAAGGGAGGAGAAAGGGAGGAGAAAGGGAGGAGAAAGGGAGGAGAAAGGGAGGAGAAAGGGAGGAGAAAGGGAGGAAAAGTATGAGTCGACTCAGAAGAGGGAAGAGGAGGGGGCGTGGGGGGAGGGGGAGGAGGCGGGGGAAGGGGAACTTCCTAGGTAGAAAGCAGACATTTGCAGCAGAGAGAAGATGGAGCAGGGAGAGAGGAGGACGCAGAGAGAGGAGGAAGCAGAGAGAGGAGGACGCAGAGAGAGGAGGACGCAGAGAGAGGAGGAAGCAGAGAGAGGAGGACGCAGAGAGAGGAGGACGCAGAGAGAGGAGGACGCAGAGAGACACATCGGGTGTTCTCACATGGAAGAGGATTTGGAAGGGCGCAGGGCGACATGGAAGGCGAATCCAGGGAGGGTGGACGCGGGGAGGGAGGAGGGAAATGGGGGCGGGAAGCGGCATGCAGTGCATGTGAGGCCAGCACAAGGGGCATGACTGCAAGAGCAACAGACAGAAACTCACTTGGGCGGGCGCAGGGCGACTTGGAAGGCGTATCCAGGGAGGGTGGACGCGGGGCAGGCTCTACCCGTGGCGAAGGAAGAAGGGGGGGGAGGCGGAGGTGGGGGGGCGCTGGTGGTGGGCGGAGGGGGGTTGGAGCCTGCCCCGCCAGCAGGGGGAGGCGGGGGGGTGCCTGTTCCGCCAGTAGGGGGAGGAGGGGGGGTGGTTGTTCCGCCAGTGGGGGGAGGGGGGTTGGTGGCGGGCGGAGGGGGAGGCGGGGGGGCGACGGGGGAGCCATTGCAGGAGAAATCGACTGTGAAGACTCCGCTGGGGGAGGGGGAGGGGGGGGGGGATGGGGGAGGTGGGGGTGGGAAAGTGGGTGCGGGGGAAAGTTGGGGTGGAAGGGGAAAGAAATGTAAGCCGCAGTGGGAGGTAAGAAGGATTGTCGGAGGAGCGACAGGGGAGCCGTTGCAGGAGAGATGTCAACGGTGGTTCCGCACAGCACAGCAAAGAACAGCACCGCACCGCACCGCACCGTACAGGACCACATGTACCTGCCGGCACCCACCTGCCCCTATCACTCACTAGTGCGAGCCGTGGTAAGCAATGGTCTTGGCGCCGCTCTTGGAATAAGCATACACCATCCTGTTGCTTCCCCGCACGTTCACCGGCGCTACCCCTCCGTCTCCAGTGCTGCGAGTGAACCTGGAGAGACAAGAGACAAGAGCACCCAAGGAAGATACGGTATGAGGAGTGGTAAGAGAGTGCAAATGAGGATCAGGAAGGGTTGGTGTGTGATTCGAGCGTACACCATCCTGTTGCTTCCCCGCACGTTCACCGGCGCTACCCCTCCGTCTCCCGTGCTGCGAGTGAACCTGGAGAGACAGGAAGAGAACGGCATGAGGTTTGGGATGGGGCTTGCAAGAGGTTCGGTATGAAGCTCGGAATGAGGGCGGGGCGGGAAACACACGAGCAGGTTGCTGCGTGTCGCGTTGACAGGAGCCACACCACCGACTTCAGTGCTGCGAATGAACCTGGAGAGGGAAAATCACACGAGCGTACGAGGTTCGGAAAGAGGGTTGACATGAGGTTCGGAAAGAGGGTTGACATGAGGTTCGGGCAACGCAAATCGGTTGCTTCCCTTTTCATTGACGGGAAAGAGGGTTGACATGAGGAACCACACAACCGCGCTGCTCTGCCCGCCGACGTCAGGGCTGCAAATGAACCTGGAGAGGCGAGAACACCCAAGGGTATGAGGTCCGGTAATTATTGTTAGTACTAGGTTCGGAATGAGGTTCGGTACGAGGTTCGGCATGAGGTTCGGTATGAGGGCTTGGTACGAGGCTCTTTGTAGCACTCACTTCATCATGGCCATCGTTCCGCCCATGAACGACCGGCTCCCCGGCCAAACGGAGAAGCTAATAACGGGTACAGCACATCGCCCCCCAACACTCATCATCATAGTAGCCATTGTTCCGTCTGTAAACGACCGGCTCCTCGCGCCAAACGGATAAGCTAATAACGAGTACACCGCCCCCCTGCACTCACTCCATCGTGGCAGTCGTTCCGCCTGTAAACGACCGGCTCCCCGCGCCAAACGCAGTCGTGGCTTTCACCGTCGAGTAGGAAGTAATGGCGTACGTATTAACGGGGACGGGCGAGCCCTCCCTCTTCCACCCCACCACCAGCACTCACTTCATCGTGGCCGTCGTTCCGCCCGTGAAAGCCTTTCCGCCCGCGCCGAACGCGGTCGTGGCTTTCACCGTCGAGTAGCTCGTAATGGCGTACGTATTAACGGGGACGGGCGAGCCTCCCTGGTTCGCGATGACCGCGTCTGCCGTCACCATGCCGCCGCTCTTGGAGAACGCGACGCTGAACCACCCGGTAGCGGCGGCGCCGGTGGCCGTTACGGCGAGCTCTAGCAGCGATCCGGTCGTGACTTTCCAGTGGAGCTTCATGCTGGGGGGGAGGGGGAGGGGGAAGGGGGAAGAAGCGGGGAGGGGGGGAGGGGAAGGGGAAGGGGGAGAGAGAAAGGGGAGATGGGAGGGGGAACGCGACGCTGAACGTTGAGCCGCCCTGGTTCGCGGTCGCGATAACCGCGTCTGACTTCACCATGCCGCAGCTCCCGCCGTTAAGGTTGAGGTGGGGAAGGGGGGGGGGGAAGGGTGGGCCGTGCTGGTTCGCAATGACCGCGTCTGACGTCACCGTGTCGCCGCTTCATGCTGGGGGGGGGGGGGGGGGGAAGAGGGAAGGGGAGCGACGGGGGGAGAGGGAGGGTGCACGGGGGATGGGGGAAGGGTGCGCCGGTGGCCGTTACTGCGAGATCTAGCAGCGATCCTAGTTGTCTCGGAACTCTATTATCGCATCCCGAAAGGTCTAGCCTGTGCAAAGAGCCGTACTTTGACCCAAGGGAACTTTTGAGTCGACTTTTAAGTTGACTGTTGAGTCAACTCAGAAGTCAAAGGTCTAGCCTGTGGAAAGAGCCGTACTTTGACCCGAGAGCGACTGACGATGTGAATCCCGCGAGCGGCGACGCCGAGCAAGTCGCCTGCGGGGTAACCCTTCTCGCCAGAACACGCCCGCGGCCGCGGCCTTCGCCAACATTTTCGCCATCAACGCTTTCCCGTTCGCCACTTTCGGCGGACGTCGCGGTCGTCACGGCGATGACTGCGCTCGATGATATTAGTAGCACAAGTAGGAGCAATGCCGTCGTCGCTTGCAAGCGAGCTGCTAAGGCGAGCCGCGCGAAGAGATTCCTCGCTGACGCCGCCATCATTGGAGCTGTCACCTGCACGAGAGCTGCTGATAGCGGCCGTAACTCGCGGACGAGCGGTTCGATCGGAAGTGATGGAGCGGTTCGATCGGAATGGGCGGAGTTGTTCGATCGGAAGGGACGGAGCGGCAATCAAAATGGACGGAATGGAACGTTGGATGGAGTGGAGGCACTACTTAGCAGCTATTTAGACTTATAACTACAAAAGAAACTAACACAGAGGTGTGGAGAAAAGGAATGGATGCCTTCACCGTGCTACTGACTGTAGACGCGCAAAGCTAGGGTTTGAACAACTAAGTTTCTGACAGCCTCTGTAGGCAACTTGTGTACAGTCACTACCACCGACCATGTGGCGAGCGCGTGCTCCCTCCGTACCCACCGTCAGAAATCGCCTCAACGCCTGACGTGCAAGCGCATCGAGCAATGTGCAGTATTACTGTACCTCGAATCGCACTCGTTCCAGCTGTCATCCCTTACAGGGATAAGAAGTCGAGCACGTGGCCGGACTCGAACCACACACGATCACTACAGTTCAACTGTGTGATGCTGTGCCATGCCATGCCATGCCAGACTCCAGTATGGTGTACTACTGTACTACTCAGTTTTTGCCATCGACACAATTTGGCTACATGCACATGTGTGTATGGGAAAACTTTAGACATTGAAGTCAATGTATATTTTGCCTACACGTACTTGTCCATCCTTCCCTAGTGAAGGATATGACCGCCAACAAAAAACATCACCATAGCTGATAGAGGTGCTACGCACCCATCACATCGAATAAATTTGTCAACCATCTCATCGAATAAAGAAGATGTTGTGTAGGTTACCATTGTTATGCAAGGTACTGCGTGGTATCAATGCATTTAACTCGCATAAAATAACAAGCTCATAAAATGATTCTTAAACACCATCCGCAGCAATCAAGCGCCATTGAGGGTGGTTAAGAATCACCCTATCTCAACTCGCTCTTACCACCACCCACAAACCCAATAAACAGCACCAATATCCCCGCAATAAGTGCATGATCGATCACCCCTCATGATACGGTACCCCTGCCCCTACTTCGATAACTTTCTGCAAGACAATGGCTGGGCTCGAGTAGATCCACCATGTCATGTCGCATCACATCCACACATCGGGTTGAAATGCCCTCATCAAAAGCTTCCATGCTCCCATCTCATTGCATCACCTTCTGCTAAGCCCCTCGGGAGTGCATCTGGTTCTTGCCTTTGCTTCGGCCCTTGCCCTTGCCCCGCCCCTTGCCCTTGCCGTTGTTATCACCACCCTTCTTTTTATCGCCACCCTTCTTGTTATCATCATCATCATCATCATCATCATCATCATCATCATCATCATCATCATCATCATCATCATCGTCATCATCATCGTCGTCATCATGGCCCTTCCCCCCACCTCCGCTCCCCCCTCCAGACGATCCAGTCTTGCAGGAAAAGTCAACGGTGATGCGACCACTGGGAAGGGAAGCAAGGCGGATGGGGGGACGGGAAAAGAGGAAAACGAAAGAGGAGAATGAAAGAGGAGAATGAAATGGGTGAGAGTCTACCCAGGCTCTTGGAACCCGAGGAGTAGGAGTAGTACATTCTAGGATGTTATTTGTTCGTCCCCACCCACCAGCAACCCACCAGCAATCATACATACCCCCTATAAGCATCCTCAACACACTCATTATGCGCCACCGTGGAAGCTTCTTGGAGTCTGAGGGGGAGTAGGCCCAGAGCAGGCTGTTGCTCCCTGCCACGACCACACAACCATACATACATACCCCTATAAGCAACCCACCATACTCATTATAAGCAAGCTTTGTACACTCACTATGCACCGCCGTGGAAGCCTAGGCTCTTAGAGCCCGAGGGGGAGTAGGCCCAGAGCAGGCTGTTGCTCCCTGCCACTTGCACCTTGGCTGCCGAACCTGTGCCCTGGGTTCGGGAGAACCTGAGGAATGAGAAGGAGAGGAGGGATGGGAAGAAGAGAGATAGACATGTGAGCAGTTGGAGGGGAGATTGTGCTGAGTAAAGGGATTTTGCAGAGTGGAATATGAAACGCACCCTATGTCTAGTTTAAAGCTAGAATAAAGAAGCAAAATCCCAACGACAGCTCACTTGACCACTGTGGACCCAGCGGCAACTCACTTGACCACTGTGGATCCAGCGGCAACTCACTTGACCACTGTGGACCCAGATGCACTGGTGGTTGTGTTGGCAGTGCCGATGCCAAAAGCAGTGGTGCGCTGGATCGAGCCCACGGAGTATCCACCGATCTTATACGCTGCCACTCCGCCAAGCACAGCACACAGCACACAGCCCACAGCCTCCAGAAACTCACTTGATCACCGTAGACCCAGAAGTGCTGGTGGTGGTGTTGGCAGTCCCAATGCCAAAAGCAGTTGTCCGTTGGATCGAGCCCATGGAGTATCCACCGATCTTATACGCTGCCACTCCGCCGCCCGCCATGTTACCAAAAACGGCGTCGGAAGGTGCCATCTTGCCGCCCTTGGCCCATGCGAGGGCGATCCAGCCGGACTTGGCGGGGGCGGCTGTGGCCTCGATGGCCAGATCGAGCTGCGAGGCAGACGCTGCTTTCCAGTGAAGGAGGAGGCTGAAGGGAAAGGGAGAGGGGAAGAAGCAGTGCGGACAAAGAGAAGGCATTGGGTTCAGCCGGCCTTGGCCGGGGCGGCTGTGGCCTTGATGGCTAGATCGAGCTGCGAGGCAGAAGCTGCTTTCCAGTGCAGGAGCAGGCCGAGGGAGAGAGGAGGGGAGAAGGTGCTCGAGAGAGGAGGGAGGAGAGGAGGGAGGAGAGGAGGGAGGAGAGGAGGGAGGAGAGGAGGGAGGAGAGGAGGGAGGAGAGGAGGGAGGAGAGGAGGGAGGAGAGGAGGGGGATACAGCCCTTTTTAGGGTGTATCTACTCAAAAAGGGAAACAGGAGAATCTGATCGGTAGGGGGACGAGAGACGAGGGAGGAGAGGCGAGAGATACAGGAGAATCCGATAGGTAGGGGGACGAGAGAGGGGAGAACATGGAAAGGCGGAGAGGGGAGGACTTACGTGCTTCCCTTGAGCTGAGTCCGGTAGGTGTAGTGAGGTACAGTGGACGCGGGACAGTTGGAGCCTCCCCCAGAAGAGAGTAAGGGAGAAAGGGAGAAAAGAACACTTACGTGGTGCCCTTGAGCTGAGTCCGGTAGGTATATCCGGGGAGGGTGGACGCGGGGCAGTTGGAGCCTCCTCCAGAAGAGGACGGCGGAGGGGGAGGGGCGGGGGTGGTGGGCGGAGGGGGCGGGGTGGCGGGGGGAGGGGGCGCAGGGGTGGCGGAAGCAGAAGCGTCACAGGAGAAGTCCACGTCAGCACTGCCACTGCGATTGGGGGAGTGGGGGAAAAAAGGGGGAAGAAAGGGGGAAGAAGGGGGAAGGAGGGGGGAGAACATGTGAGAAGCGAGAAGGCGCCAGGGTGTCAGCTTCTATCCCATTGGTGGCTGGGTGGGTGGGCGATGACGTATGCATGGTCCTCGGCTCCACATCAGCCACTGGGGAGTGGCCCAGACGAGAGAGTTGGTGCTTGCCTGCCATACCCCCACTGCCACTGCCAGCACGCTGCGCGTAATCCCCGCGCTCGCAACGCGCACAGTGCCCCAAAGCACTCACTAGCCCACGCCCATCCCCACTTATTGAGTCGACTCAAAAGTCCCCACGCCCATCTCCACTTATTGAGTCGACTCAAAAGTCCCCACGCCCATCCCCACTTATTGAGTCGACTCAAAAGTCCCCACGCCCATCCCCACTTATTGAGTCGACTCAAAAGTCCCCACGCCCATCCCCACTTATTGAGTCGACTCAAAAGTCCCCACGCCCATCCCCACTTATTTCACCCACCCACTCCCTACGCGTGCATCGCTCCCAGTTCTCACTAGTGGCTGTTGTGGTATGCCATGGTCTTAGCGCCACTGGCGGAGAAGGCCCAGATGAGCGAGTTGACTCCTGCCCGTCATCCCCTCCCCTGTCATACCTTCCCCGCCACTGCACACACAGCCGCCCCCAGACACTCACTAGTGGCTGTTGTGGTAGGCGACGGTCTTAGAGCCACTGGCGGAGAAGGCCCAGATGAGCGAGTTGACTCCTGCCACGTCCACAGCGACCGATGAGCCGTCGCTTGCTGACCGGGTGAACCTGGTGTGGGAGAGGAGAGAGTAGAGGAGAGGAGGGAGTGGAGGAGAGGAGGGTATGAAAGCCTTATCAATCCAGTCCAGGTCCAGCTGAGGAGTCTGTCGTCGTAAATGTAACTGACGTGCACAAGTAGCTGACGTGCACAAAGTGGCTGACGTGTACAAGTGACTGACGTGTACAGCACGAGTAGCACTGATAAACGCGACGCGATACTACTCACTTGGCGATGGTGGTCGTTGTTCCCGCGGTTAACGAAACGCTCCCCGGGGTGAACGCGCTCGTCGCAGCGACGTTGCTCGCCGAGTACCCCGTGATTCTGTACGCTTTAATAGCCGGCGACGTCGCGAGGTTGCACATCACCGCGTCTGCCGGCGCCATCGCGCCGGGCGACGACGCCCACGCCACAGAGAACCACCCCGTCCCCGCGCCGCTCGCTCGCGTCGCCTCGACCGCCAGCTGGATCGTCGACGTGGCGGTTACCGCCCAATGCAGGCGGAGACTGGGGGATTTTCGGGGGAGGTTCGGGGGAACGCATGGCGGGGGGGGGAAGGGACAGGCCAATGCAGGTTAGCGCCGGCGACTCGTAAGTCACCTCGCCGGATGTTTAGCATCAGCCAATGCAGGCGGCGACAGACGGGGCTCGCGATTACTATAACAGGAAAGTAACAGCGCTTCGCCGAATTGAAACGAAACTCGTGTGCAAAGCTCCGCGCTTCCGAAGCGGAGGGTTGGGGTATCTCTCAATGACAAAGCGATTTTGGTGTTCAAAATTTCGTGAGTCACGGACGGCGCATCAAGATGCAGATTGACGGTGTGGTTTCCATACGCATCGACGGCGCTCTTACCCGCTCGCGAGTGCGATCGACGACGTGTAACCCGACAGTGACGACGGATCGCACGTGCCAGTCGCAGCGGGTTTGACGCTAGCAATCGTCATCGCGGCAGGCTGCGCTGCCTGGGTTCCCGCGCGCAGCGACGAGAAAAGCTGCGACACGGCGGACGCGACATTCCACCTCCAACCCGAGCCTACTGGTTGCGCGGCCAGCGCATTTTGCGGGAGAATCAGCGTGGCAAAAACCAGCGCTAAGAGGGGGAGCAAGCGCTTTGCGAGCGGGCGATGAGTGGTCCTTCGTGACGGTTGATGCGAGCAGCGCCGCGAAAAACGCGGAGCCATCGTTGAGAATTTACGTAGTCGGGCGTAAAATGAAAGCTGACGGCGAGATGCGACGCGGGGGATTCGGACGAAGAAGGTTAGTGGCTGAGAAACACGCGCGGAAATGGCGATGGGTGGGGATGGATGGGCGGCGGGTGATTGGCGATGGATTATTGCTCCGCTCTGACTTTCTCTCGCTCGCGGTTAGCTTCAAGCAAGAACAGCTATCGAAGCCAGGTGTTGAAGCGGGAATAAGAAGTGAAACCTGATTTAGCTTGTTTTGTACTCGCAGGGTATTCGTTCGGAATTCCATTCGAAAGCGCAATGCGCGGGAATGAGAAAGAATGAGAGGATTAGGGGGAGCAGCTGAAGCGGGAATGAGGGGGGTAACAAGAGAGAAGGGTGAGGGGGGAAGAGCAGGACGAGGATAACGAGCAGGAAAGGGGGGGTGTAGGCGGGGAGCGGGGTAGGGGGAGAACAATAAGGGGAACGGCGCGTTTCACGACGCGACGGTGTCGGTGACGCAGAAACGAAGATTGCGCGTGTCACGCAGCTCTGGCTCCATCCATTCAAGCTTGTCAGAGAAGCCAGGGAAAATGCACGAGCTTCCGCATTGGGCAGGGAGAAGAAATTGCTTCAGTTCCTAGGATAATAAAGCTGTTATCTTTTTCGTTATCTACCTCCTTTTGGTGCGGCAATGAAAGCTTTAGGTTGCATAATGCACTTTGTTATTGTCATCATCGGGCTCACGAAAACGTTGAGAAACTACACCAAGTTTCAACACGGAAATGACACTTGCGGCTGGTGTTTTGGTGAGTTTGGCGGGGGAGGGCATTGGGGGGGGCACCACCACACAAGTGTTCTTTCTGGCGGTCACGTTTGCAAATCACACAGCATTATTCGTTGACGGCAGTCAACATGTCAGTCAGGGGAAACGGTGCACAGCACACCGACCACGAGAAATCCACGAGCCATTCGAGGCAAGGGGGAGGGGCTTTGCTCCAGCGGTCAACTGTATTCGTAGAGTGGACGAAATAGTGCGTGGTGACCACAGAAAAAGAGTGTGTCGGCTCAATTTGCGATATGGGAGGTGGGTCACCACGAAGTGAAGTGCGGAAAACAAGTACAAGTGTTCTCGTTTATAGTCCGACAGATCAACATCGCCACGCGCAGACTATGTGCGAAAACCTTCAAACCCCAGGCAAAACGCGATACTGTTAGTCCCGTTCAAGAAAATTGCATGAAAGGTGGTTGTTTTGCTACTATTTTCTGGATTTCGGCATTTACGTAGATTTGGACCGCGCTTGCTTCAACTTCCAGTCGCACGGTTTTCCACACTGATCAATGTCGCATGACTGACGGGCAAAAATAAACAGAATCAACAATGGTTTTGGGGTCGAATAGTAACCCAAAAAAAAAAATTACCCTGTAATCGAAATAAATAAGATGTCATCGTCGATCGCGCTTGAGACAAGACTGTCAAACATTATATATGTTGTGTTAGTTTAGGCTACAGTGGGTTAGCCTATAGGGGGTACACAATTCTAGGGTTAGGTACTTGTACTCATTTCACTGTTAGTTCATTCATTCCTGTTCAGTTATTCCAACATGGTATAGAGCAGGTCCTTCCTAGGACCGAAATTTTTTAAGGGCCCATCACTATCTACCTACCTACATACCTACTTCCGCCCTAGGGCGCCTCGGCTTCGTCACGCCCCTAGAGGCCCCCCTTGTCGGCCCCGCGCTAGCCCCGTTCAGGCCCCGTCGGCCCCACGCCCGCTGTCTCTAGCGACCCCGTTCAGGCCCCGTCGGCACCGTTCAGGCCCCGTCGGCCCCGCGCTAGCCCCGTTCAGGCCCCGTCGGCCCCGCGCTAGCCCCGTTCAGGCCCCGTCGGCCCCACGCCCGCTATCCCTAGAGGCCCCGTCGGCCCCGTTCAGGCCCCGTCGGCCCCGCACTAGCCCCGTTCAGGCCCCGTCGGCCCCGCGCTAGCCCCGTTCAGGCCCCGTCGGCCCCACGCCCACTATCCCTAGAGGCCCCGTCGGCCCCACGCCCACTATCCCTAGAGGCCCCGTCGGCCCCGTTCAAGCCCCGTCGGCCCCGCACTAGCCCCGTTCAGGCCCCGTCGGCCCCGTGCTAGCCCCGTTCAGGCCCCGTCGGCCCCGCGCTAGCCCCGTTCAGGCCCCGTCGGCCCCGCGCTAGCCCCGTTCAGGCCCCGATCGGCTCCGCGCCCGCCGTCCCTAGAGGCCCCAACCGGCCACGTGCCCACCGTCCCTAGAGGCTCCGAGCGGCCCGTTCCCGCCGCAGCCCGCGACCGAACCGAGCCGCGCAACCCGAGCCGCGCGACCCGAGCCGCACGGCCCGAGCCGAGCCGCGCGACCCAGCCGAACCGCGCGACCCGACCCGAACCGAGCCGCGCCGCCCTACCCTAACTGAACCGTCCTAACTGCTTCTCCTCCTACTACTGCTGCTACTTCTGCTTCCTATGGCTAGCCCACAGGTTCTCGTGTTCGATGCTGAGGGCCGTCCTGTGAAGTTTGACACCTGGCTCGATGACCTGCACCTCTACCTACAGCTCACAGCCAAGGATGACATCTCACTGTACGACCACGCCCTAGACCATGTCACTGCCCCTGCTGCTACTGCTGACAGCACTGCTCGCTCCCAGTGGCAGACTCGTGATGCTCACGCTCGCTTCGCTATTCGCAACTCACTGCCGATAGACGAACGCGAGCACTTTGGCCAGCACAAGACTGCACAGGCACTGTACACCGCTGTAGTTGCTCGCTACTCCTCACCTGCCTCTGCCGCGCTAGGCCGTCTCTCCCTCCCCTACCTGTTTCCCGACCTGGCCTCGTTCCACACAGTCGCTGACCTCATCACGCACCTTCGTACTAGTGAGGCCCGCTTCCGTGCCGCCATGCCTGCTGAGTTCCTTGCCACTCACCCCCCTCCACTCTGGCTCACTCTCTACCACCTAGTCACCCGCCTCCCTGACACACTGCGTGCTGTCAGGGACCACTTCCTAGCTCGCTGCCCCACTGAGCTCACCATTGCCCTCCTCGAGAAGGAGCTACTTGCAGTTGAGACTAGCATAGTCGCTGTAGGTGCCTCTCGTGGCGACCCTCGTACCCCGTTCTTTGAGGGGTGTTCTCCCTCCCCCCTTCTTCCCTCTGTCGCCTCTGCTGCTGCTGTCGACCTTCTTGGTGCTGAGAAGGTCGACGCCGCGTCTGCCTCGACCGGGCGCCGCAGCGGCAAGGGCAAAGGGGGCAAGGGTGGTGGCGGTGATGGCGGGGGAGGCGGCGGTGGGGGCGGTGGAGGCGGTGGGGGTGGTGGCTCGGCTGGAGGGGCGAGTGGTAGCGGTGGGGGTGGTGGCGGCAGCGGCGGGGGAGGTGGCAGGGGCGGAGGCGGTGGTTGGGGTGGAGGTGGCCGCGGCGGCGGCAGGGGTTGGGGTGGTCGAGGAGGTGGCAGCGGTGGCGGTGGCCGTGGAGGCGCTGGCGGTGGCCAGGGCCAGCAACACAGTCCTTCGCCCCAGGAGGTCCGTGAGTGGTACTCTCAGCACGGGGGTGGGGGTGGTCTTAGCTGCACGTACGTCATTCGCACTGGTCACCACACTGGTCAGCAGTGTGGATGACCGCACGCCACACAGCGCTGCTTCTCTCGTCTCGACGATGTTTGGCGTGTTCAGTTCCCTCAGGCCACTGAGCTGCCCCGCTGGATTGATCTCCTGAAGAAGGGGATTGATATCTATGCTCTAGACTTTGATGCTATTCTATCTGCCATGTATGTGATGTCTACTAGTGGAGAGGGTGCTGAGTACTTGTGTGTGCCGCCCGACCCGGGCACTAGGGCCAGTGCGTCTGCCGCTCCAGGTATTCGCGTGTCGGCTACCCCAGGTGCTGGTGAGGCTGCTGCTCTAGGTGCTCGTGTGTCTGCCCCCCTTGGTACTGAGTCGACTGCAGCACTGCACACCTTCACACTGGACTCAGGTGCTTCTCGCTGCTTCTTTCGTGACCGCACTGCCCTTGAGCCGCTTGCTCGACCAGTTGCTGTCTCCCTTGCTGACCCCTCTGGGGGTCCGGTCATTGCGACCTCTTCCACTGTCCTTCCCTGTCCTGCGGTCCCGTCGGGCACACTGTCAGGTCTCCACCTCCCCTCGTTCTCTACAAACTTGGTGGCAGGATGTGCGCTCCAGGACGGGGGTGTTCACCAGTTCACCCCTGCCTACGAGCGCGTGACACACTGCACGTGTGCTCGTACGGGCCGTCACTTGGCTACCTTCACTCGGCAGCCGGGGTCGGACCTGTACACACTGACTACTGAGTCCCCTCAGGTTGCTGCGTCTGCGTCCGCGTCACGTCAGCTGTCCGCCCCCTGCTCGTGTCGCTCTCTGGCACACGAGACTGTCCTCTGGCACCACCGCCTTGGCCACCCGTCTGTGCAGCGGCTTTGTGCCATGCACTCCCGGTACCTTGTCTCTGGCCTGCCCAGAGTCCTTCCTCCCCTCCCACCCTCACCTGCTCCTACCTGTCTCCCCTGTGTCGAGGGACGGCAGCGCGCCGCTCCTCACTCCTCTCCGTTTCCCCCGACGACTGCTCCCTTGCAGATGCTCCACATGGACGTGTGGGGCCCAGCCCGCGTCCGTGGTCAGGGTCAGGAGAGGTGCTTCCTGATAGTTGTTGACGACTACTCGCGCTACACCTCGGTATTCCCCTTGCGCACCAAGGGTGAAGTCCCTGATGTCTTGATCCCTTGGATCCGCAGAGCCCGTCTCCAGCTCAGCGAGC